TGGAATTTACCAAAATAGCATCCATTACTACACCTTCTCCAAATCCCTTTCTTTTTGAAGACCTCTCAGAACAGGGACACAGGCATAATTACAGTATTCATTGGGCTCTTCTCAAGTGAGTGACTCGAATTCCAAACATGTATCTCTGGATTTGGGCCATCACCTACATGCTTCTAACTGTGTATGTGAAAGGCCACTAGATGAAGCCCATTTAATTGAGGACTCAGTTGGGAATCTCCAGTTTTAGTGGACATCACAATCACCTGGAGGGCTTGTTAAACCACACTTGTTAAACTCCACTGTCGGAATTTCTGATTCAGTAGGGCTAGCACAGGGCTCAAGTATTTGCATTTCCAACCAGTTTCCAAGTGGAGCTGACTCTGCTGGTAGTACATTACGAGAACAACTGACTAACGGTCCTCCTCTCCTGGTCCTCATTGTTGTCCTGTGAGAAAGAGCCTTTCCACAGTACGAAGCCAGAGTGAGATGCATAGAAGCAAAGAGAAGGGAAGGGAATATGAAGAGAATTCACATGAGTTTTTTGGCTCTGGGACCTAGCAGGATAGGAAGCCAATTTCTAACCTCCATTTCCCAGTTATAGATGAGAAGTTATAATGAAGCTTCTTGCTAAGTTATTGTGAGTTTATGCCATTGCACCAAAATAAGACAGCCAATAAAAATCTCAGTAAAATGTATGGCTACAAAAGCATCTATTCAAGAACATACTTCATTGCACCTTTGTAGATTATCAGAGAAGTTATTTCTCTGCATCAACTTCTCATTTCATCAATAACAAATATTCATTACCAATGTGACAATCACCATGTTTTATTACGGAGATCTGATGGTGATTGAAGCAGATGGAAATTCCTCCAGTGGATATAGGCACAGAAGGCAAAGTTGAGCAAATGTTTGGCAAGCCTGGAATCATTCACCCATTTATTCTACATTTATCTGTTAAACAACAATTAAGTGCTACTCACTATGCCAAGGACTGGGATGAAACAGTGAAAACATCCTTCCTGTTTAGTTTGGACAACAAAACGAAAGAGTCGCAACAGAGTTAGCTCAGTGCTCTGCGCACATCAAGATGGTATCATGAACTCTGGGGTGCACAAAAAGGAGCCAGCAGGGCACCAGGTATGTCTCAGTAAACCATTACTCTCAGATACGTTTAGGGTAATGATAAGAACACAGTTTACAGGAAGGGCACATAGATTTTAGTGGTTCAGAGAACAAGCCTTGGACTTTGAATAGACTTGGTTTGAGGCATGGTTTCACTACCTACCAGTTAGTTACACAGAGCAACTGTTTCCCTAAGCCTCAGTTTCTTTTATTTATTAATCTGATTATTCATTTTACCTGCTATAGGTAATACTACAATAAGAACTTCATGTTAATATTGAATATATAAATGTTCTATCAACCTGTACTAAATAAAATGTCCGCAAATCACAAAGTTTTAGAATAATTGCAAAGAAAAAATAAAAGCTCCCATCTTTCATGGGAAAGCTACATACAGAAGAAATATAAACTAGAAATTTCAAAGACTAAAGTGATATGAAAATTAAAGGAAGAATTTTTTTATTTGACAGGTAGAGGTATAGACAGTGAGAGAGAGAGACAGAGAAAAAGGTCTCCTTTCCGTTGGTTCACTCCCCAAATGGCCTCTACGGCCGGCGCTGCACCTATCTGAAGCCAGGAGCCAGGTGCTTCTTCCTGGTCTCCCATGCGGGTGTAGGAGCCAAAACACTTGGGCCATCCTTCACTGCCCTCCCGGGCCACAGCAGAGAGCTGGACTGGAAGAGGAGCAACCAGGACTAGAACCCGGTGCCCATATTGGATGCTGGCGCCACCGGCGGAAGATTAACCAAGTGAGCCATGGCACTGGCCCCAGAAGAATTTTTTTAAACTCTTATTCAACCATCTTATTTACTTGAAAGTCAGAGAGACAGACACAGAAAGAGAGAGAGTGGTGGCAGTGGGGGTTGAGGGGGAAGAGTACTCTCCTATCCACTGGTTCATTCCCCCAAATTCTTGCAATAGGCAGGACAGGGCCAGGCCAAAGCCAGGAGCCAGGAAGTCAATTCAGGACTCCCACGCGGCTGACAGGGATCCAACTACTTGAGCCAATCATCTGCTGACTCCCGGGGTGTGCATTAGCAGTGAGCCAGAGCCAGGAGTGGAGCTTGGAGTCACACTCAGGTACTCTGATTTTAATGCAGGCATTTCAAGTGGCATCTTAACTGCTACACCAAATGCCCACCCCCACGAAGAAGCTTTGAATAATCAACAGCTTCAGAGCTCAATCTCTAAAGATTCCTTTAAGAAGCAATGTTGGATGGCATAAATTTTATTCAAAAAATATAAGAAATGGTATCATACCCATTACAAAAATAGAAAACTCAAGGCAGGCGCTGTGGCGCAGCAGGTTAAAGCCCTGGTCTGAAGTGCCGGCATCCCATATGGGCGCCGGTTCGAGTCCCAGCTGCTCCTCTTCCAATCCAGCTCTCTGCTATGGCCTGGGAAAGCAGTGGAGGATGGCCCAAGTCCTTGGGCCCCTGAACCTGTGTGGGAGACCAGGAGGAAGCTCCTGGCTCCTGGCTTCAGATCAGCGCAGCTCCGGCCATAGCGGCCATCTGGGGAGTGAACCAGCGGATGGAAGACCTCTCTCTCTGTCTCTGCCCCTCTCTAACTCTGTCTTTCAAATAAATAAAATAAATCTTAAAAAAAAAAAAAAAACGAAAATAGAAAACATACAGATTTCAAATGAAGCTGCGGGAGACCTAGGAGATTAGAAGCAATCAAAGTCATAAATCTTATGTGGCCCTCATTAATGTAAAGCAAGAAGCTTGCCCCGACAAGATTGTCTGCAAGTACACATCATGTTTTATAGCAAATGGAGAACAAAAGGCAAAACATCAGGCTGTAGACTTAGATTTGACTGAGGACTAACTCCACCACTTATGAGAGTGGGCATTTATTTATGAGTTCAAGCCTCATTTAAATGTCATCACCACAATACCTACTCCACAGGTTTGTGAAGAATCAAGTGAGGTAACGACCTTAGGGTTCCCAGGATAGTGCCTTCCCCTCATGGGCACTCAATGGAGAGAAGTTACAATCCTGGGGAGAGTCAGAGAAAGGAACTGACTCCCGGTCTGCAGGCCAAGCATCGTGCTATGACACTTCCTACTGCATCACTTTCAAATCATTTATTGATCACGAGAAAAAAAATGTTATTAGCCAAGTTAAATTGGTTGTTGGACCTTAGGTCAAGATTTCTGCAGCAGAAAGCCTGCTGTGGGCATAATTGTGAAATCATGAAGAATTTTTGCAATCTTAGATGGTGGTTTTGGTCCCTGGTCTGGCCCCATCCCATGTGTTCATAATGAACAATCTGCTGTTTGAAAGCTGCCCACACTCTGCCCAGCAGGGAAGGCCAACTTCTTAAAGTGTGGTTCTCCAGTTCATTCCCCACAATTCCTTCTTGCAGGGAGCAGATCCTGCAGGAACAAGCAAGCAGTCTGTTGATCCTGGGCCCTCCTAATGTGAGTCATCATATTGCAGATGAGAAAAACAAAGAAGCACTGAGCCTGTGTAGGGAGAGAATGATAAACCTACAGCAAGGTGTTCTCCAGTCCAATATCATACAAAGGGATGCACTCAGAATTCATGAGTCATTGAATTTTTTAGGTTGCATTTTTAAAAGCGGGGCCTTTTAAATTTTTTCATTTTATTGGGAAGACAGCTATAAAGTGACAAACAGATAAATTCAGAGAGATCCTCCACCTGTTGATTCACATCCCAAAAAATCTCAATAGCCAGGCTGGACCAGGCCAAAGCCAGGAGCACAGAACTCAACCCAGGTCATTTACTTGGGTGGCAGGGACACAGGTAGTTGAACTCTCACCTGCTGCCCCCCAGGGTACACTAGCAGAAAGCTGGATCAGAAGATGGCAGCCAAAAGAAAAGTAGCCACCCAAACATGGGATGCGGGTGTCCAAGTGGTGACTCAACTGCTGCACCAAATGCCCACCCCTAAAAACTGGGGCTTTTAAAAGTAGAAAACAGAGTTAGGCAATGAGTGTAGTAGTCAGGGCAGCATTTGGGACACCTGCAAGTCATATCAGAGTTCCTGAGTTCAAGTCTTGGTCCTACTTTTCATTCCACTTCTTACTAATGCACACCCTGGCAGGCAGTAGGTGATGGCTCAGGCAGCTGGGTCCCCGACCCCTATACTGGAGACCAAGATTGAGTTCCTGGCTCCCAGCTTCAGCCTGGCCCATCCCCAGCTATTGCAGGCATTTGCGGAATGAACCAGCAAATGAGATCTTCTCTCTTTTCTCACCCCACCCTCTCTTTGTGTGTGTGTTTCTGACTTTCAAATAAAATGAATCTGAAATAGTAAGAGAACATTGATCCAACTGAAATATACTAAAATTGATAAACTGATGAATAGGGTTACAGCATTTATATCCTCTATTTGTTCTACCTGTTTAAATATCCACCATTAGAAAAGCATCTTTGGGAGAGGCAAAGCCATGCTTTCTGCCGCCAACACAGAGGCTAGTAGGGGAACCATTGAATCGGTTTCCAGGGAGCTGGCGTCTGTGGCACATGCTCTTTCTCTCCCAGCAGAGTCTTATGGCAAGGATCCAGATATTGAAATGGCTTGGGGCTGGCGCCGCAGCTCACTAGGCTAATCCTCCACCTGTGGCGCTGGCACACCGGGTTCTAGTCCCAGTCGGGGCACCAGATTCTGTCCCAATCGCTCCTCTTCCTGTCCAGCTCTCTGCAGTGGCCTGGGAGTGCAGTGGAGGATGGCCCAAGTGCTTGGGCCCTGCATCCGCATGGGAGACCAGGAGAAGCACCTGGCTCCTGGCTTCGGATCAGCGTGGTGCACCGGCCATAGCGGCCATTGGAGGGTGAACCAACGGAAAAAGGAAGACCTTTCTCTCTGTCTCTCTCTCACTATCCACTCTGCCTGTCTGAAAAAAAAGAAGAAGAAGAAAAGAAAAGAAAAAGAGAAATGGCTTGAACCACAAGAGCGATGCAGCATGCTGAAGTGTGTTACAAGCTGATTTCATCAGTTGACCCACAGTTCCTGAAACTCACCAAAGTGGATGACCAAATCTACTCTGAGTTCCAAAAAATTTTTGAGAAACTCAAGATAGATGTGTTAGACCCAGAAGAACTTAAACCAGAATCAGCAAAAGAGAAGCGGAGGCCATTCTGCTTGAAGTTTAAAGGGATTGTGGAAGACTTCATCTATGGTACTTTGCTGCAACTAGATTGTACTCAGAGTTACACTGAGGAAAACACCATCTTTGCTCCCAAAATACAGTTTTTGGCCATTGAAACAGCTCGGAACCAGGAAGGCTGTAACAAAGCAGTTTACATCAGTGTTCAGCACAAAGGAGAGAAAGCAGGGGTCAGTGGAGGAGAGCAAGAGAAAGCTGAGAAAAAAGAAGAGAAAGGAGCCAACAGTGGAGGGAAAAAAGAGGAGGGAGTTGCCAGAGAAGGAGAAAAAGAGGAAACTGCCAAAGAAGGAGAAAAAGAGAAAGAAGCTGACAAAGAAATCTGAAGTGGGGAATAGCCACGTAAGGTGAACAGGGACCAGAGCTCTAGAGGCTACTCTAGCTGAGCCAAATGCCACAGTGCTATTTGCACAGACGCCTTTGGTTGTAAATGTAAATCTTTGTGCAGCTGAAAGGTGCTCAGAGAGACATCTCTCTAGCCTAAGAGTCAGGAGCTGCTCTAGTTGTTTTATAAACTGGCTTAAAGACTTTTAGTGAAGTTTTAGTTGACTGTTTGTGTGTTGTTTCTTGACTCTCACTGCTTCTCAAGTAAGAAATGTTGTAAATAAATGTCTTCTGTTTCTTAACAAAAAAAAGCAAAGCAAAGCATTTTTGAATTAAAAGAAATTTTGCAATTAAAATTAAGTTAAAAGAGGGGTTAGCATTGTGACTCAGCAGGTTGAGATGTAGCCTGCAGCACCAGTATCCTATATAGGTGCTGGTTTGAGTCTCAGCTGCTCTACTTCAGATCCAGCTCCTTGCTAATACACCTGGGAAAGCAACAGAAGATGGCTGAAGTACTTGGGCCACTTCCACCCACATGGGAGACCTGGAGAAAGCTCCTAGATTGTGGCTTTGGCCTGGCCCAGCCCTGGATGTTGCAGCCACTTAGGGAGTGAACCAGCAGATGGAAGATTCTCTCGCTCTCTCTCTCTCTCTCTCTCTCTCTTTCACTATAAGTCTGCCTTTCAAATAAATAAATTTTTTTTAAAAAAAGTTAAAAGAAGCTCCATAAGTCTATGGCAAGTTCTTAGAGCTTTGAAACACAGAATTTGTTGAAACACACACAGCTGTAGGGTAAAGAACATTATGAGAGTCTTCACTCAACCGAGGCCAGAGCAGGAAACTAGAAAGCATACTAATTATTTTAACAGATAGGATTTATTACAAATTAATTAAAATCAACAAGGCAAGATTGGCTAAATAGGTGTTAGAGAGCTAAAAATGCAAAAGGGGGACACTGATGTAATTTAGAGATAAACTTCCAAAATCAGTTAACAACTCTAGGGAAAGCAGGAAAAAAAAAAAAAAAGGGAATTGGGGTTGGAGCTAGGCCAGAACCAGATCTCTGAGAAGGAGGCACTGCTTGGTTGCTTCTGGCTCCTCTGCAGACAGTAGGGAGAAGAACTAGACTTCCTGCTGCTGCCAAGAGAGGGGAATTGCTGCTGAAGGTTTCTGCCTCCAGGAACAGGAACTTCCGTCTCCCTAACTCTCTGTCTCTCAGCACCCTGTGCCTGCTTTTCAGAAGAGGCCAGCACAGAGCCCAATCTATGTTCTTATCATCCTAGTCCCAGCATCACTGACCTTGGTATATAAAGGTGGCCTTGAAGTAGAGATAGCAGCTTCAAAAAATCAGCACAAATTAACAAGGAATGACAGTAGTGCTAGGCACGAGATGACTGAAGGCCAATGGAGATGAAAGGAAATCCCTGACATGAAAAATACACAAATTGTTAATAAAAGTTAATTATGGGGCCTGCGCTGTGGTACAGCAGGTTAACGTCCTGGCCTGAAGCACTTTATGCCATATGGGTGCCAGTTCTAGTCCCGGCTGCTCCACTTCCGATCTAACTCTCTGCTGTGGCCCGGGAGGGCAGTGGAGGATGGCCCAAGTGCTTGGGCCTCTGCACCCAAATGGGAGACACGGAAGAAGCTCTGGGCTCCTGGCTTCGGATTGGCACAGTTCTGGCCTTTGTGGCCAATTGGGGAGTGAATCATCGGATGGAAGACCTCTCTCTCTCTCTCTCTCTGCCTCTCCTCTCCCTGTGTAACTCTAACTTTCAAATAAATAAATATATCTTTAAAGAAAAATAAATAAAAGTTAATTATTTCAGTTAACTATGGGTGACAATTTTACACTAACTTGCTATCTTTCATACACCATCATTTTCACCTCCGGTGATTCATAGTAAGCAGACTGGCTGCCATCACATTCCCTAAAATAATGGGATCAGGGCAGATCTTTAGTGATTAAGAAGTCCATATTCAATGGGAGAGGGAATAGGAAGTGTGACGGTTTGGGTGTGGAAGGGTGGGTATGGGGGAAAGAACTGCTATAATCCAAAAGCTGTACCTATAAAATTTATATTTATCAAATAAAAGCTTTCTTTTTTTTTAACTTTTATTTAATGAATATAAATTTCCAAAGTACGGCTTATGGATTACAATGGCTTCCCCCCATAACGTCCCTCCCACCCGCAACCCTCCCCTTTCCCACTCCCTCTCCCCTTCCATTCACATCAAGATTCATTTTCTATTCTCTTAATATACAGAAGATCAGTTTAGCATACATTAAGTAAAGATTTCAACAGTTTGCTCCCACACAGAAACATAAAGTGAAAAATAATAATGATTTTTTAAATGATGATGAAATCAGATCAGACCTATTTTCATGTTTAATCCCAGTGAGAGTCAAGTTGGGAATTGATAATTTCTTTTTTACAGAAGATCAGTTTAGTATACATTAAGTAAAGATTTCAACAGTTTGCACCCTCATAGAAACACAAAGTGAAAAATACTGTTTGAGTACTAGTTATAGCATTAAATCTCAATGTACAGCACATTAAAGACAGAGATCCTACATGAGGAGTAAGTGCACAGTGACTCCTGTTGTTGAGTTCAAATAAAAGCTTTCTAAAGATGCCCATTTTCAATATTTGATTACCTGGGTTCAATTCCCAGCTCTGGGTCCCGACTCCAGCTTCTTCCAATGCAGACTTTGCGAGGCTGCCATGAGGAGTCAAAAGATTAGGCTCCTGCCAACCACGTGGAGGAGCTGGGTTGAGTTCCCAGCTCTCAACTCCAGCCCGGCCCAGCCCTAGTTGTTGCCTGTTACAAGTGTTTAGGAAGTGAAGCAGCAAATGGGAGATTCATTCTCTCTCTCTCTCTCTCTCCCCCCCCCCTCTCTCCACCTCAAATAAATAAGTAATTTTTCAAAGAACAATAAGACTAAGGGCCCCAAGATTTACCACTTCTGGAGAGAGCCAAAGTATACACATGGCAGCTCGAGCCCTGCACACTGAGATGGGTGGGCTGCAGAACTCTCCTTCAGAAGGTTCTCAGATCCAAGAAAACCATGTGAGCATCTGAAACCATCTCCCTAAAGCGATTCAGTGGAAAGTTTTCAGAGGAAATTTAAAACCAGCAGAGATGTTTCAGTGCAAGGCCCTTCTTTTAACATTTTGGTGGCAAATAACCTATTTTTATCTTAGTATACAGTTAGCTGCCTAGATATAATAATATCATACAAATGATTATTCTAACTCTGACATGTTTTTGCTTTAGTCAAAAGTAAACATTACACATGCCTTGACACCAGCTTGTTCTGCTTCTTCTATGTACCATGATTCTTGAAACATCGAGGATATTAATCAGATCTGTGTGTGCATTTCTTATGGTGAACTTCATCAAGAAATAGTTGAACTTCCAGCATTCATCTACTGATCCTTAACTAATTTGGATTTAGGCAGAATCCGCAGATTGTGTATACTAACTTCTTGTAATGCTATGTATATAAACTTTATTTTCAGGAGGATTAAGGAAAACTCATCTCGTCATATTCCTTCCAACAGCTAACATTAAAACCCAGATTTCTGACATTCCTTCTGAGATGCTAATAAGACTGTCCTAGATTTCCAGTGACCGCTGTGTGCAGATGTTCCATATCCTCAGGCCTGCACTCTGGACTTCTACCAAGGCTGGATCTCTGGTTCCAAATCCAGCCTCACCTGCTCCTATCACCTACTCACCTCTGGAGGCATTTGAGTTGTTTCTTTAAAAAAATATTTATTATATTTATTTGAAAGGCAGAGTGACTGAGAGAGATGAAGAGACAATGAAAGAGTGAGAGAACAAGGGGAGGGGCGGAGAAAGAATCTTCCACCTGCTGGTTTACTCCCCAAAGGGCTGCAACAGCAAGGACTCAGCCAGGCTGAAGCCAGGAGCCTGGAACTCCATCTGGATCTCCCATATGATGTCAGGGGTCCAAGTACTTAGGCCATCCTCCACTGCCTTCCAGGACACGTTAGCAGGGATCTAGATAAGAAGCAGAACAGCTGGGACCTGAATCAGCACTCCAACATGGAATCTGGCATTACAAGTGGCTACCTACCTACCCCAGTGTGCCACAACACCAATCTGGCATTTGAGTTTTGCAAATTCTGTACTTTTTTGAAGAGAACTTCAAAAAAATATGTGGAAAATTGAACTAAAAGATAGTTTATTTTTATGCAAAAAGTTCAAAATACATGCACAGGTTTTTCATAATTTGTATTTTCCATGAACTTTTTAAAGACCCTTCATATGCACAGGATCCAAAAATTTTTTACAGCAAAATAAACTAACCTTTTAGCTCTATTTTTCCCAAGAACTTTTGAAGTATCTTCATATTCTTCTGAAACTCAGAAGAGAGCTTTAAAATATTTGATAATCAGGGATGGTGTTGTGGCACAGTGGGTTAAAGCCCTGGCCTGTAGCACTGGCACCCCTTATGGGTGCCAGTTTGAATCCCAGCTGTTTCATTTCCAACCCAGATCCTTGCTAATGCACCTGGGAAAGCAGCAGAGGATGGCGCAAGCTCTTGGGCGCCTGCACCCACCTAGGAAACCGAGAAGAAGCTCCTGGATCCTAGCTTCAGATTGGCTCAGCTCCGGCCATTGTGGCCATTGGGGAGTGAACCAGCAGATGAAAGATCCCTCTCTCTCTCCCTCTCTGTCTTTACCTCTCTCTCTGTAACTGTGTCTTTCAAATAAATAAAATAAATCTTTCAAAAATATATTTGATAATAAATAAGGCAGGGGTAATAGAATGAGTTGCTATAAGCTAACAATTAGTTTCTCACTTTGTAGAAAAGAGGCTGGGGATACAGAACAATAGTTATTTGTCAATGTTATGGAAATATTAATATCTGAATCATATCAACTGAATATCAGTTCTGGGTGTGTATTCTGTTTGTGACAGAGTCATAAGCTCCTCTGTGAGAGTAAACTAACCTTTAATAGAAGAAAATATATGGAAGAGAAAAAAAAAGATGGAGTGAAAACCATAGAATAAGAGGGTAGAAGAAAGAGAGAGGCAGGAGGAGGGAGTTTTTACCAAAAACTTAACTAAGGAAAGCATGTGGAGATATCAAAGATTATTTCCAAAGGCCTTGAGCTACAAAACATCTGACTCTTGCTCTATATGCATAATAAAATCTATCATCACCTGACTGCAATTTCTAGAAGACCAAAATGCAAGGTTGAGGGCAACAGGAATCTCCATTAGACTTCTTGTCCCCCTTACCTGTCTCCCTCCACTGGACTGAGAGCTTCTTTTGTCTTTGCATCTCCCAAATCTAAGAGTGCCTGATGCATAATGTGCCCTTCCACTCCAGGCTGACTGATATTCCCCTTGTGTGCTAGTATGTGTGCCTTAGCTGGAAGAAGGAAGGAGCATGTGGGCCCTATCTCAATTACCTAAGGGTAGAGTGCCTGACTCAGAGCAAGGATTACTGTGTTTGCTGAATGGTAACATGGCTAGA